TATAAAAGTTTCACCAGGTGAGACTTTCAGTTTCGGCTCTGACATGTGAAGAACTTGCAAGTTGGCACATGTGTCTTTAGAACAAGAGAAAGTTGGACCAACTGAAAATCAATGACTTTGCTGGGACACATCAGAAAACTGAAGTTGCAGGATGAATGACCACCCGCAGAACTGGAGGAAGAGAAGGTGCAGCTGGAGAGACACAGCTGAGATCCGCTTACCTGGAGCAAAAGTCGCTGGAGCCATCAGCTGCTAGCAACACTTGAAATATCATTTTGACAAATTTCTAGAGGCTGCGTGTGGACTATTGTGCAAGCGAGAAACTGCCGAGGACCACATTCTTAGGAGCCCCTACACTTCTGTGAGCTTTACCTCCAGGGACCACACCAGGCTCTCACAGTAAAGAGTGGAGAAAGATCTCTTGCAGAAAAAGGGGAAGAGCACCTGGGTATACTGTGAAATACACCCAGAACCTTCTCCATGACAAAGGGCTCCTCTCCAGGGCAAAATACTGCCCATGCTTTACCCAGCTTGGGGAGGCATATCCCGCCCAGTGCAGCCCCTCCATTCTTTCTGTCTTACCCAAGGAGAAAACAGCATCATCTACAGTGGGCAGAGCTTCCAAGAAATAAATTGCGAATACTGCAACCAGAGAAGGAGCAAATACCTCCTCCATCTAGCCCGGTGCTTGCCCACCTTGACTCCACATTAGTATCACCTGGGGAACTTGAAAAAAATCCTGACACCCAGGATGTACCCGGCCTGATCAAGTCAGAATCTCTTGGGGCTAAGGACCAGGTATTAGTATTTTCAAAAACTGGTCCAAGCACAATTCACACCAAGGTCAGACCTACTATTGACTACACAAGCCTAAGTGGTTTGACAGAAGAAAAAACAGATTATGAATGATCTACTTTACACGTCCCAAGTAATCACCAATAAAGAACTTACTATTTCTCTAAGCAACTGTTACTGTGTTGTTAATTTTCCTGTAAGTGCATTCAACCATTCCTCTACTTCATTAATTTACCTTGACTTGCATAGAACAGTCAAACATATAATCTGCACGCAGATAATCAAGAGTTGCTTGTGGTACCTTCACTGCCATTGTTTCTACTCTCATAAAACCACCTCATACTTTCAAATTTCATTTTAGATCATTTCATAAACTCTATAATTAATCCTAGGGCTTCAGGTGTATAGTAAGCACCACGATGTGCCCCAATATGTGTATTCTCTGGATTTGCATTTCTATTCATATCATAACTGTAACCAAACTGCACCTGCAGATTCCCTGGATCAGCAGCCATCTGAAATGCACACATTTTAATTTCCACTTTAATGCAGAGCTCCTAGATTTGAGCAGATGCCTGAAAATACAAGCACCCAGCATGGTGGCACACAAGACCACATCTATCGTCCTCTCTCTCGATCTTGTATAGAGTTGAAGTCCCACCACAGAAAAGGGCTCTTATTTGACTGACTGATGATCGCTGGGCTAGTCCCCCACTGTCCAACAACCAAAATTCCCTTTAGCTTCTGTGATCCCAAGAATGATCTGGACCAAACTCAAAAGCAAATTTCCCAGGAAGCCAATGAAGCTTAAACTTCAGGAGTCTCAATGTGTACAGGCCTCTTCCAGAGCCCTGGGAGCTGCTCTAAAGGTTTATATCTCTAATTTTTTATTCTTTTCCATGAGATAAATTGTATCCATGTTAGGCCCCAGAAATTCTAGATCCATCTATTAGTGGGCCTAATGTAATTCAGCTGCCAGTCAGAAGGCAAGCACTGAATAAACTGTAGCATCTTTATAAAGTGAGGTTAACAAGGATTGGCTTAGGGCAGCAACTGTACCCACAGAATTGGGCTTTCCTTCCTCTGCAACAGGGTACCTCAGAAAAAGGCACATTGTAGATCATAAGCAAAGGGGCATGACAGGAAAGGAAGAGATTTACCATCTTTGACAAGGACAGGTTCTAGGTCCTAAATTTTAGAAAAACAGGGAGAAAAAAATCCAGGCTTTTCGAGTGTGCATGGAAATTCAAACCCTCGGGGCAGAGCTGGTAATCCTGAGCAGATCCTGGCACACATTTCACAAATAAAATCTGTTTCTCCTGCCCTCAGGGCCAAGCATACACATCTTGTCTGGCCTCTTTGCAAGGAAAATTTTCTGTCCACCGTCTTGCTAAACTTGAAATTCTTTTTAATGAAAAAGAAAGCCTTTCAAGAAATAACTAAAGAGAAATGGCTTAACATGCAAACACCCAGAGTGAATATTTCAAAGGGAAATTATTAATTCTAACCCAGAGTTGCCAGATAATAAAAACATAATCATTAAATTCTAACCCAGGATTGCCAGACTCCTGTGTATTTTGATAAAGGGTTGACAGGGAGAAGTGGGCGAGGATGAAAACAGGAGGGAACCTGAAGAGAGCCTGACACACGGAAGCCCACTCTGCAGACTGTGTGGCCTGGCCAGCAAGTGCCCTGTTTCCTGCTCTGGGCCAGAACTGCACGGCCAGGTGGGCCCACACTGCAGGCATGCAAGCAGACAGGAGGCCTGCAAAGACTGATGCAAGCATGAGGTGCTCAGGGGCTTACACACCCTTCCCTCCTGCTCGCCTTTGCAACTCTCCAGGTTCGATAGTGTATTTGGGTCAGCGATTCCTGAATCAGAGAGTGATCCCACTGATCTGGTTTGGGTGTTAACCATGACCTAGCACTCCCCTCCTTTGACCACCTGTCCACCTGGGTCTAGGTCTTCCTGGAACAGCACCATGCTCTCCCTGGCTGTCCAGTAAGTCCAAATCATCCTCTTAGCATGGCCTTGTTTCTGCTCTGAGTCCATATTCCTCAGTGGCCAGTGAACCCAAACTCAGGGGTACAGTTCCAGGCAGGAGGAATCCCCTGTGGCACCAGCTCCACAGAGTGGCCGAGATGTGGTACACACTGGTCCTGGTTTCCATGCCCAAACAGACTCCCTTTCATACCACTATTAGCCACTGGAAACTGACCCATGTGCAACCTGCTGCCTTTACAGCAGGGCCACAGAAAAGGCCAAATCCAAACCTTTATTTCCTTTACTTCTGAAACTGAATCATGTGGCTCTGACCACATTATAGGTGACAACAGAAGCACCATGATGAAAGGGCAGTCTACTCAGCCAGGATCGGGCTACCCTGCACGTAGCAACTCTGGCTGTGGCCACTGAGCAGTCCCCCTCTCCTCAGCAGCTCTTTGAAGAGCTCCTCTGAGCAACTTACCTGCTAAAGTTCTTCAGCTATAGGAGAGAAGCAGAAAGAAAAGGAGCAGAAAAGCAGTGTTTAGACAGCATGGAGGACTTGGCTGTTTTGGTTACTTTATCCTCTGGCCCATCATGCATGGACAAGCAGAAGTCAGAAAGCCATTCTCTGAAGTTCATTATAACTTTGCTGCAATCTCAGGTGGAAAAAAGGACCTTCCCCTACCTAGTCTCCAACCAGTGGGGAAATAGGCCCATCCTGAATTAACCTAAAAACTACTTTCCCTCACAAACCCTAATTAAATTATGAAACCTCTGATGAAGCTCTGTACTTCCCTTGCTTTCCAAAGACAGACTAGCTTGTGAGAACAAAGGACAGTAGAAGATGTTTGCAAATCACATTTGATAACCAACTCTGCTGACAGCATAGTGGAGACTTCTTTATTCTTCCACGGAAGAAATGCACTTTCCTATAGCGTTAAGTCAATAATAGCCATCACCTGGGTTGACAAGACATCAGTACTATTACCAATATAGGCTGTCTTGTGTTATGTTGATGAGACTTTTGGGAGAAGGTTTTGAGAATATTTAGGGCAAAAACACCCCAGTTTGCCTGACCACGTCCACTGTAGTATGTGCGTCAAAGTATTCAAGAAGTCGAATGTGTTCAGCCTGCAGATTTCCATTCAGATGGGATGTATGTAACTACTATGTAAGTCATGTTCATTATCAAACATCTCTCACTCCTTATTCTTACTTCAATTTGGAAAGAATTCACACAGATAGTACCTACTAGTTACTACTATTGAATATAGGTTCACAGGCTTTGGAAATGGACTTAGTAGCAGATTAATTCACACAGATAGTACCTACTAGTTACTACTATTGAATATAGGTTCACAGGCTTTGGAAATGGACTTAGTAGCAGATGAACAATAGATAATTGACAAAATACAGCACCACTTGTGGTTCTACAAAGCATTATGATCGGAAGGAAGGGGGTTAGTTTAGGTGAAGACACGCAGAGCAACAAGGATGTTTAAACCACATCCAGGTTTATTTTTATTTTAACATAATGTCCTTCTTGCATGGGAGAAGAAGGCAGAGATAATGATTACAATTTTCATCTATTAAAATACTGTGCTTTTAAGTATTTCTTCTTTATCCTGAAAATTAACTGAAAGTCTAGTGGTTACCATGCAGGAGGGAGTGGGTGAGGGATGCAGGGGGGGAGTGCGAGGAGGACCGTTGAACCACTGTGATGTATATTTGATTAAAAAAAAAGAAATCATGGGAAAAAAAATTAACTGACTGCAACTCAGCAAGCATGGTGGAGCTACTGGATATGAATCATGAGTCAGCTAGAGCAACAGTTCCCTCCTCCTCCCCACTCCACAAGTGTTCCCTTCCACCTTGCATATGCTTTTAACATTGTACTCAATTAAAAGGAAAACATGAGCCGTCAGTAAGTAATTTGGCTAAAAAAAAGGTTAAAGAACTCCATAAAACAACATAAGAGAAAGAACACATCCTTCTCTGATACAGAAGTTCTCAAAAGCGTCACCCATAGACCACCTGGGAGACTCACCTGAAGGTGCTTATTTAAAAGACAGCTTCGCCCCAGACACACTGATGCAGGATGGGAACCAGGAATCTGCATTCTAAATAAGCTGCCCAGTGCATCATCAAGACAGTGGCAGGCAAGGACAATTAAGGCAAATTAGTACACATTTCCACATGTCTGCTCACTCCCGCTCACCTGGTGGACTCCCGTGTCCTGCAGCAGCTGTGGCAATCGCAAAAGCAGAGGCAGGTGAAACAGAGCAGTGGGAGTTGTCAGCCGTCTGTCCTGGTTGTTTAAAAGAGTAGAAATGGCATGGTGAGGCAGATGGATAGAATTCTATAATGAAAATTCTCATTTTTTTTCCTGCACTGGATGAAGGGTTGGGCCAAATAGTCTGTATTGTCCTTATTATTAATAGGCATCAGAATTCTGCTCTAGGTATATACCTGAGAATAGAAAACATACATCACATAAAAAGTTACACATTAATATCCATAGCAGCATTATTCATAATGGCCAAAAAAGTAGGAACAACCAAATATCTATCAGCTGGTGAATGGAGAAACTAAATGTGGAACATCCACATGAAGGAATATTATTTAGCCACAAAAAAGGAATGAAGTACTAGTACACACTACAGCATGAGTGATCCCTGAGAGCATTATGTTAAGTAAAATAAGTCAGTCACAAAAAGTGATGTAGTGCATGATTCTCTCTATATCAAATGTCCAGAATAGGCAAATCCATGGAGACAGAAAGTAGCTTAGTGGTTGCCAGAGGCTGGGAGAAGATGGGAATGGGCAGGGATAGCTAATGGGTACAGAGCTTCTTTTTGGGATTGATGAAAATGTTCTGGAATGAGACAGTAGTTATGGCTGCCCAAGCTTGTGAATATTTTTTTAAAAACATGGAACTGTATACTTTGAAAGAGTTAATTTTATGGTAAGTGAATTATATCTCAATTTAAAAACTATTCTATGTCATGTTATCAATAGAATTTTCTTCTCAAAACACCTTCAAAAGTGGGAATGCATCCCAAAATCAAAAGGATGCACTGAACACCTTTTGCAGTGCCTTTCACTCCTCAAATCGTTTACACACAGCATTTGATAATGCTGATGCCAACCTCAATGTTTTGCCTCACTCAGGCTTTTAGTGAAAATAATTCACTGTGATTCTGACCTGAAGGGTTTTTATTAGTTTGTCCCTAAAGTTAAATAGTCATATTTAAAATGAGTAGGAGGGGAAGCGAAGAGCTGCTTCATGTGCCCCAACACAAAATCACAGAACACTCTACCCTCTCTTTCAGCAGTTGCCTTAAAACATTTGTGGAGCAGGGTGGCAAGTAGATGAACGGACAAAATTTCAGGTACACAGTGAGAAAATGTGTGATACTGTCCCCATTTGGATCCTCCGTATTATCACAGATTGTACCTCCCTCCCTTCCTATGCTTCCATGTCTGTACAATTTAGTCATATCAGGAAAGAAACAAAGGACTTAGTTAATTCACAAACAGGATTTCCAAATAATGCTTATACAAACAAATTTCATATATGGATACAAACATACAAAAAGAGACTATAAAACAGATCCCTCATAATAGTGACCAAGAAAACAGCATTTACCTCTTGCCTCAGTAAAGTTTTATTTCCCTGGGCTTTGGTCCCAACCTCTTCCAGGAACTCAAGAGGGTCTGTCCTATATGGCAATTATCAAGAAAATTGCCGAGGCCCAGACTGACCAAGGCTCTATGAGCAGTACAGAGATTTGGTTAATTCCAAAGTAGACCTAGAACAAATCAGGGAAGGCTAGCTTGTCACCTTCATATTGCGGAATCACCCAAACAACAGGGTGACCTGTGACTGACCAGGGGCCTGAAATCAGTCCACTCTGCGAGGGCTGCTCCATCAGGGCAAATGTTCTGACGACAGTCTGACTCAGGCTAGCTTCCCTGGGGGCTGGTGACAATGACAACAGCTTCTACCATGTGGCTAAGGCTACATATGGAATAACCATTTGGAGCACGCACTCCATCTTTTGCTAAATTGCCCTACTGGAAGCAGGACTATGAGAGTCAAAAAGTCTACATTTTACTTGGGTTAACTGGAGTGACTCTAGTTTCATAACTGAATAATTTTCCCTTCTGACTTGAAATAATTGGCTTGAAGAGAATAAAGGAAGCATTTTAAGAACAACCGTTCCTTGGATATATTTATGTGAGCAATGAGGAGATAAAGGATTTCTACCTTTTGCTCTGCTTTTCCTCCAATTACAGGACATCTGGTATAGTCTAACACAAACTATGGGACATTACTTTATAATTTTCATAGCTATAGAAAATATACAATTTCTGCCACTAACATTAATGATGATTGGGGTCCCATGCACCTGGACCTTATTTTAAATGAAACAATGTTCTTAATAAGCACCCCCCTCCCATATTGTGCTGTCCCAGATGAGCCTATTTAGTGTAGACTACACTGGGACTCTTGGTAAGGTATCAGGGTCTGGGCACATTTGGGTAAAACCAGCACTGAAGTTCTTCAAAGAGCATTCATCTAAGGACAGGTTTCTTGACTCACCTTCCTCCACACAAAGTGTAATACATGATGGGGCCAAACAAATACTGGTATAATAATGACAGGTATTTGCTAATCATTTATTTTTCCATTACTTGGTCCTACAATAACATTATATTTGCTTCCAACTAATTTTCATACCTCAGACTAAAAAATATTTGGAGAGTGAAAGAGTAAGATGAAAGAACATTTCAAGCTAGGAAGTATCTTTTATATTTCTGAGTCCCTTTCTGAGCTCTCACCTACAGGCTGGCGACAGCGGAGGTGCTGAGGAGTTGAGGGTGACCTGCAAGGTGAAAGTTCTGTGGCGTCCGGCGTTGGGGAGCTTTCCACTCCTGCTCGGTCCATAGGTGCAGACTCCAGGACTGCTGCTTCAAAACAGTGTGTATTTTAACAACCAGGCCATGAATTCAAGAGTTTCTTTTCATTATCATGCATGCAAACACAAAAGTTTGTTATGAAAAATAAGCATTTCATATTCGTCTACATTTTTAAAGGGCTTTAATGTGAAATTGCATCATTCCTTCTGGCAGAATGCTAATGACACTAAATCAGAATACAATGTCTTCTCTTCCCCTGTCTTGGTGACTGGGCTGAGTTTGGCTGTCCCTACTCCCTTCCATCCAAACAACAGAGGTGTTAAAAAGAACAGGGGATATGTTGTGGTTCCCCAGCCCTCCAGAATGTTTCTGTTTTCTTGGATGGGGAAAGAGGGACTCTTCCAGACTGTGAATCAGACTGGGATCACTATCGGGATTTCACTGGTTTTTTGCTTGGGTGGCTCCTGAAACCAACTGAAATTTGAATCATTACCAATGGGCTCCCCCAAGAAACTCTGGGGTACCTAAGGATCCAGAGCAGCATTATCCAAAATGGTAGCACTAGCCAAATTAGACTAGGCAAATCTAAATTAAAATTAAGTTAAATTACTATTTCAGTTCCTTATTTGCATGAGCCACATTTCAGGTGCTCACAGTACCACCTGTGGTTGGTGGCTACAGTACTGGACAGCAGATATAAAGCATTTCCACTTCCCAAAATATTCTACTGGATAGCACCGATCTAAAGCTACAGACCAGCAGGAGACAAGTGGAAATTTTTATAGTAAGCTGTTGAGAGAGTTTAAGATATTTTGAGCCTCTTCACTGCAGCAAAGATCCAGTGAATAAAAGGCACATTATTCTAGGGTCACAGTCAGACTACTACTGATGATATTTCCACACCCCTCCTCCCTGGCATATTAACCAGATAAAACTATAACTTTGTATGTGTTCTTTCAAGGAAAGCACTAAAAAATTTCATAAATTTCCAACAACTTTTCCATTTATTTTCCTTGGGCTTTTCATTAACTAATAACTATGTTACTTCCACTAATTTTTTTTTCTTTCAGATTTTAAATACATTTATTTTCCTGTGTGAAATCTTCAGAGAATTTGATGTTACTTGATGATATAAGAGGAGAACATTTACAAAAATTGTGGGGAGGTGTTAATGACCTTCTTATGTAGAACATGTCTTTCCTGGAATAGCTACAGAAAAGGTCAGAGGTCTAATGTCTTCATCCAGAGACAGATCATGTTCTAGCTGATTTTTAATGTGATAAAAAGTCACCTTTGAAGAGTGGTAGAGCAAGAATTGGAATGTGTCCAACACGGGCCTCCCTGAGACCTGAGACCAAGGAGGTTTGTTTCTATGCTCATAAAGCTCATAAATGCTGTGTACACCCCTCAGTCCTGCCTGTGAATACCTCCATTAATTTTACATTACCCTTGTCAGCAGAACTACTCAACACCCTTTGCCATCCTATTCAAGATTGCACTCAGTAAACTTTGCAGAACCCCTAATGACTTCATATAAAGCCATTTTTACACTTGCATGTGATTTTCTCCTTAAAATTATAGCCACAATTTGGCTCCTTTGAGACACAAAGGGGCCAGGGAAGGGAAATGGTTCGAATCTTTTCTTGAATGACATAATTACAGTAAAGCTGGCAACGATGCAGGATGCAGACAAAAAACATCAGTGCTTAGCTGTTAGTTTTATTATTTTCTAAATAACTCCCTCAAATTTCAGTAACAGAAGGCATCTGCTCTGCAAGAGCAAGCAGAATATCAAATGCATGTCCTTGATCTGATTCAACCATTCATTCCTCTGAGGCAAATGAGAAAATCATTTAGTCAGCAATTACACTGAACCCCAAAACTTCCCATTTAGAGAGCTGGACAGGCCTCCTGAATGTCCACTGAAAGAACAGGAAAGCAAAGAACACTGCAAAAACCAAAAAGGCACCTACAGAGAGGGGAAACCATGCCAGCACGGTGGGGAGAAAGAAGCATTTCCTTCTGGCATGTTCACTTTCAATCAAGTTCCATGCAAACAGCTTTGCCTGCAGGATGAGTGGGCAGATGTGGGCTCAAAACAAATGCTAAAATTGGGAGCACTTTCAGCCCACAGGCAGGCAATTTTCAAACTAAGAACACAGAAACAGACACTAGTGATGTGGGTGTGCAGCAACGCAGAGGTGAGGTTGCCCACGAACACTGATTGGGTAGGGGGCCCAGACAGTGCACAGCCCTGTGACTTGCCCTTCGTGCCTTTGTCCGTCTGACTTTTGTTGAGATCCCATCATTGAGGGCAGTCTGGATGTGAGTTGGGCTAATGTTTGTGCTCGTTACAAGAATCCAGGGTAGAAGAAGGTGGGGACTGCCTGGTAGGAAAAAAGGGAAGTCCTAATAAATATCGGTGAGCCTGGAACAGATCTGGGGACTGGGTTAGAGGGAGGGGTGGATGATATATTGCATTGTCTTTTCCCTCAGAAGTTCATAGCTTTGCTCATTTTGAGGGATATTTCATATTCTTGTCATGTCATTTAAGTCCTTCTGCCAGGAAATAGTGCAAGGCTGGAATTATAATTGCAACAAAGGGCACTAGCATTTTTCAACAAGCATACCCTGAAACTGCCTTGCTAATCACACCCAGGGCCTTCATGTGGACCTAATGGACAAAGCTGGTATTATGCAATGAGCTTGTACAGAGTTGTATCCTCAAGCGAAAAGCAGAAAATGTATAAACTGTTGGCACAGGATTCTTATTCAAGTTTGCCAACTGCTTTAAGTGTTAATATTATGCAAAGCGCACGCAAACATCTTTCAAATTAAAGACAGATCAGCATCTCCCTTTTCTTTGCCAACTGGAATTTTCAAGACAGAGTTATTAGAGCAGCACTCTTGGCTTCCACAGACATCAAACATACACACACACACACACACACACACATGCTGAACTTGTCAGACTGACACTGAAGTGTTTTACTAATGACATTCCTAGGACTGTTCATACTGAACTTTCTACTTACAGTGTTTCCTTTATGAAGATCCACAGGAAAAATTGTGCTTGCACACCAATCTGTTCTTAGGTTCCAATATGAATCATCTAATTGATCAGGGCAACTCTGGGAAATGCAGAGGACCACACAGTATTCTTTTGTTCACTGACCATACCCTTGGCCTCACACAATTTTTCTTCATGGCCTAATTTCCTCATTTATTTAATTCTTAATCCAGTTGTACCACGTGCCTGTTTGAGCTACCATTTTAAATAGTTTTAAGAACAAGATGGGAAGTAAATATATTAAGAGTGATCAGAAGACCACTACAGAAAGGGAAAAGAAATAAAGATACAAAGAAGTAGCCAGGAACAAAGTGCTTCATGAAAAGACTTGAGGCATAGTCATGATGAAAATGAGAGATAAGGGTGTATATCTTAGTGGGTGGAAGTGACTAAGAAACAGAGGGCAGTGGAGCTGACATGTCTGGAGCAGAGGTTGGCTCTAACATGCCCCATCAAGTGCCATGGGCCCTGCCTGGACCCAATGATGGAACTTCCCCACCACCCAGAGTAAGAGGAGCTCTGAATTTAACCTGGAACAGCAAAATGACATTTGTAACCTGTGAACCACGTGGATAAATTAACCCTTGAAAACCTAACTGCACATCATTTGTTTTGGGAAAATCCAATGAGAAACAGAAGCATTAAGCCCTCAACTTTATCTACTTCTCTAAGGTGAAACAGAACCTACCATCTTTGCTACACTATTCACGGGCTCTCCATCTGCGGGCCCAGGTCACCAGTGATTGATGCTGCCAAATGATAAACTCTCCAGTGGCCATTAGCTATATCTGTGGGGACCCCACCCATGTCCAACATCCACACTGACAAATCTTTACAGCCTTTTCAGTGACCTTCTCAGGGAGCTTGATGCAGATCTTTCTCATGTATCTTGAGTTCCCTGAGTCTAACTTGCTCCAGGAAAAAACTACTGATTCTTACCAGTAACCACCCCTTCATCCTAGAGTAAGCCCAAAAAGTTTTAGGACATAGCATTGAACCATCACTATACACACAGGACTCAGGCTTTGAAGAATTGAACTGGAGAACTTGATGGCCAGCATGGAACAATCTGTCTCTAGCAAGTTAAAGTGGAAGAATTGATTATAGTGGGCAATAGGCAGCTTGATTGAGGACCTCTAGAACTATGACGTGTATTTAGACCATAATACAGAAAAGAATAGATTTTCTTTAGCTTCCCTGTTAAAAAATAATAATAATATCCATACTACTAGGCCTTAGCCAAATTAAAATGCAATCTCTGGAGAATTACAAAAAAGAAAAAAGATTCTCACCTCACACACTTTAGGATGGCCACTATTAAAAAAACATAAAAACATAAAATAAGAAGTGTCGGCGAGTATGTAGAGAAATTGGAACCCTGTGCACTGTTGGTGGGGATATAAAATGGTGCAGTCACTATGCAAAACAGAATGGAGATTCCGCAAAAATAAAATCTGAATTATCATATGACCCAACTATCTCACTTCTGGATATATATATATATATCCAAAAGAATTAAAAGCAGAATCTCAACAGATATTTGCACATTCATGATCGTTGCAGCATCATTCACAATAGCCAAGAGATATAAGGAACTCGAATGTCCAGGAGAAGATGAATAGGAAAAATATGGAATATCTATATCTACATCTGTCTATCTACATACATATACACATATATTATCAGCTTTAAAAAAGAGAAACCCTGGCACATGCTACAACATAAATGAATCTTGAGACATGGTGCTAAGTGAAATGAGCCAACCACAAAAAGACAAATACTATGATTCCATTTACATGAAGAAATCAAACCCATAGAAACAGAAAGCAGATGGTAGTTGCCAGGAGCTGAAGGGAAAGATAAATGAGGAGTTGTTCAATGGGTATAGAGTTTCCATTTTGCAAGATGAAAAAGTTCTGGAGATTATTGTACAACAATGTGAATGGTCTTAACACTAGTGAACTGTACACTTAAAAAT